TTTGTATGGAATATCTTTTTTGACTGCTCAGTTTTAATCTTTGTACTTAGAAGAGATGAAGTGATTTTATTCTAGGAAGCATAGATTTAGCTCTAAAAAGTCCATTTAATCATTTTGTCTTTTTTATTAGATAATTCAATCTATTTTATTTAGTGTGATTTTCACCAGCTGGGCTCTTATTATTGCCATTTGCATATATATATATATCGTTTTATTACAGTTGCTTTGTTTTTCTCTGCCTTACAACTTTCCTTTGTATTTAATTTTTTCTCTTTAGTAGCGTATTTTGAGTCCTTACTATTATTGTATCTATGATAAACTTTTCTTTGTAGTTATCATGTTTTATGAAAATTTGGTTGCAATAGGATATTTTTAAATGATAACAGAATATAGAAATTGAAATGTGAAATAGAAAAAAAATTAACACAAAGAAAAATATATGCCTTTAAAAATCTCTATCTTTTAAAGCTTTCCTTTATCTTCACGGTTTGAATTTTTGCTTTATAACCTTATCTCATAATCAACTGATTCTTTTTGTTAAAATTTATTTATTTGCATATTTGAGGCACAGATTAATACACACACATACAGGGAGAGGGAACTAGAGAGAGGCCTTCCATCCACTGTTTCATTTTATAATGTCTGTACAGCTAAGTTGGCACCATATCTGATACAGGAAACCCATCCAGCTCTCCCACACAGGAAGTTGAGTTGTTGAACCAACAGGTGCAGCTTTTCAGGATGTGCATTGAAAGGGAGCTGGATCCCAAGCCAGGGTTTCAACCCACTGTGATAGGGGACACAAGTGTTTAATGTGGAGGACTAGCACACTGTGCCACAATATCACTGTCAGTGTCTTTAAATGACTTGGTTTTCCGCTTTAACAGTTGACATATGAATGATGCATGCACAATACTCACGCGAATAGTCTTCTGCAGTTGTGTCAACAGTTGTTCTTATTGGTGCGTTTTCCACCTGTTGTCCACTTTCAGACCATTGCCGGCAGAGTTCAACCTCTGTCTCTGGCAGCAGCAGTATGTGAACTGCCCTGTTCTTTATCAAGTCACGCTGTGACTTTTGTCCTGCCTTTATCTCAAGAGTTGTATCTTGTTTTCTACAATGTAGTAAATTTTATTTTGTGTCTTTAAACTCCTTTGCCCTTCTGAAGGCCTCTCACCCCATTCATTCACTTTCCCAGTGCAGTCCCAATGTTCCCATATGTTTGTTTTATTCTTCTTCATTCTTTTTTCTTTTTTCTCCAGAGACTGCTTATTAAAAAAAAAAAAAAAAACTTGTCCTCAATTCTACACAAGCTTTTTCTTGTTCAATTTATTCATTTCCTTTAATGTGCTATGCAAATACTTCTGTTTGAAATCTTAAAAAATCATTTTAATCTTTCTTAAGATTCACTTTTACAATACTGAATCAGTTTTAGGTGGTTTTTAAAATCTGATTGTGCTTTTTGCTTCCTTAAAATGGTTATGGTGAGTCTTATGAAAGTTTACAGATATAAATTAATAACTGGTCAGTTTCTAACAGCTTATTTGTTTATTTACTTACGGAAGCCATGACTAAGGAAATACTTGATTCATGTTGGCATACAATGTCCACACATTAAGGATTAGATACTTTTCCCCAGTTTTTGTAATATATCTTTGTGCTCAAACTTTCAGAAATTCTGAGCCATGTGTTTACTTTCTCTGAAATCCAGAACTTTATGCTGCTTAAACGTACTGTGTGGCACTGAATGTCATGGCACCACAAGCAGCTGTTTTTGTTTAGTCAGTGTCTTAGCACTAGAAGTTGACCCAGTTCCATTGGTTGTCCTAAATTCATAGTTGATGTGTTCAGACTGAGTTTTCAAAATGTCTGAAGCTGGGGTTTCTGTCTTTGCAAGTCTCTACACTGGCAGAGGGAGTCCCAGAAGCTTCATCCATATTATTTTCCTGCGATTTGCACCATGGTTCCGTACTTGATTCTGTCTCATCGTAGAGGAGAATCCTAAATGATTTGACACTAATCTTTCTTCTTCCCCATTGCAAACAATTATTCTTCCCATATGTGCATAGGTTTGAATCCCACTTGAAATCCATGAATGGTCAAGCCTGGTGTGACACTGTGAGTTAAGGGTCTGGTCTATGCTTCTTGGGCTGCCTCTTTCTAAGGTGAACTCACAATTGAGGACGGTATCTCCCAAACACCGGTGTTGTTGGTTATGATGTAAGTCCTATTCACTGGGACCTTTGCCCGACATTGAGTTGGCTCAAGAGTCTCTTTCTAGGTGTTGGTGTGGGTCTGCTACTCCTAGGATCCATGGAGGAGTAGGCTTTACCAGCCTACGTTAGAAGACAGCACTGAGCTGCACATGATGGTGAATCTCACTTAGTTGCACTGGCAAAGCCCTTAGTTCACTAATCTACTCTCATCCCATCTGGTTGATGTCTTGCTTTTGGCTATTGCTCCAGACTCTGGGAGGGACCGTTTCTGGCTTCCCAGGCTGATAGCAACCTGAGCCACACCTGGTCTCACAGGTGTAGTGACTTGTGTACTCTCAGCTGTAGGCCAGATCTCTATGCAGCTGAAACTGATGCAAACCAAAATATAAATCTGTTTTATGAGGACAAAGGTTTCCACCTAATCCTGTCTGAGGTTCAAAGGACACACCTGTGAACATTGGCATTTAGCTAGAGATCCCATATCTCATGCTATATCTTATCATGGCAGGCCTGGAAAGAGCTACAAGTCAAAGACCTGTACTTACTTGCCATCCTACCACAGAGGCTGAAATCAAAGTTTCTCACACTGTGTCCAAATTTGGACAAGGGGGAATAGAGAAAATTTCTTGGCTGTGTAGCTAGCTAGAGTATAGTGGCATAATCTGTAACTACTAGCACAAGGAGGTGGGCGTCTGGGACACTCCACAGCACTGAACTTTACTGTGGCAGATAACTCCTGGGGTTCAGGTCTGAGAGCTGAGTTTAATTCCTTTTCCCTCTGTGAAAGTGGAGGCGAGACATCTCCGTACATTGCTGGTGGAAATGCGGTAATTGCAGGTACAGAGTATGTTTCCTGATTTCTTCAATGTCTCTTTTCTTATACTTTTTTTTAAAAAGACTTATTTATTTTTATTGGAAAAGCAGATATACAGAGAGAAGGAGATACAGAGAGGAAGATCTTCTGTCCAATAATTCACTCCACAAGCAGCCAAAAAGAATGGAGCTGTGTTGATCCGAAGACAGGAACAAGGAGCCAGCGGCTTCTTCTGTGTCTCCCAAACAGGTGCAGGGTCCGAAGGCTTTAGGCCGTCCTTGGCTGCTTTCCCAGGCCACAGGCAGGGAGCTGGATGGGAAGTGGAGCTGCCAGAATTAGAACCGGCGCACATATGGGATCCCAACGTGTGCAAGGCAAGGACTTTCAGCTGCTAGGCTACACTGCCAAGCACTTTTTATTTTTACACTGAAACCTGACACAATGGTCTTGTGTGTGTTTCTTTCTGAGCTGCTGTATATACAGCAACGTGCTTGTCTTTCTTTCTTAGCTGTTGTATATGTGCAAAGTGCATGAAAAACTGTTCCAGCAGCGTCACTGTGTGGAGATGATCACTGGAGCATCTCACCCAGGAATCAGTTGGTTCTGGCTCCTATCAGTTTCCTAATGTAAGTTTATTCACAGCAATGGTTTGATTTTCCTTAACAGTTTCACTTGGGCTTCACTTAAGGAAACCTTTATTTAAAAGGGTCACACATCTCAAGAACTTGCCTACTTGTTTGAAAGGCAAAGTCATAGAACAAAAGAGAGAAACAGACAGAGGGAAAAATATTCCGTCTGCTTGTTCACTTCCCAGATCACCATCACTTCAGGGGTGGTCCATCTAAGACCAGAGGCCAGCAGGTGCTTCCAAGTCTCCCAAGTGATGCAGGGGCCCAAGCACTTGTTGCAATCTCTACTGTTTTACTAGCCCGCTAGCGGAGATCAGGATGGATCTGGTTAGAAGATGTGTGTATTTGCCTGGGAAAGTTGCAATGTTTCATCAGAGCCTATTCTTCTTTCTATACAGTCCTGTCCAAATTATTTCCTGTTACGGTAGGAAATGTGGGAAGTGAAAAACAGGCTGCCCTCCAGTTCTCCTTAACAAGGGTGCCCATCTAGTTCCTGAAGGCAGAAACCTCTTGATCCAATTATTTCCCATGCACCCTTCCCACCTCCTAACACCATCACCATCAGGGTTAGATTGCACCACCTAAGATTTGGTGAGGCACAGCAGAACGTCCTATGTATAGCAATGAACAGAAAATGTCTCTGACATTGGCCATTGTTTATGTAAATCAGATGCTTGTGTTGGTTTCACCTGCTTCTCTGTGTTGTGAAATTAAAAACTGGAGCAAGTAGTTTTTAATTTGCTCTCAGAGAAGGATTTGATGGATTTATTATATATTATCCAAAGAACTTTTTCGCCTCTATGTCCCCTTCTATGTCATTAGTGTTATTGAGAGGTTTTATTTGGTTTTAATTGTTTTAGTACACTGCCTGGAGTAAAATCTAACTGCTCAAAAATGATTAGCTGCCTTCGGGATTATTTCAAAACTTTAATCTACTTGATAATATGCACTCATCTTTTTAGTTGTATTAAAAGAGTAGTGGTAATATATAATACATAGAGCCACTTTAGTTTGTAAAAGCAATCAATACAATTGAAAACTTCTATTTCTCTCCACCTACCCTTTCTGCAAAAAAGTCTTATTCTGCAGTCAAAGTGTCTCCAACCAGTAATTATGTAGTACATGTTTACTTCTTCTGCCTAGCAACCTAGTAAGAGTGTAAGATTTGAGACAACTTGCAGACAATAAATGCTGTTGATTTAGCATACCTTGCCTTTGTTCTTGTACTTCAGGTATCTGGGTAGTGCCTTTTAAGCTGTCAAATAACAAAGTTTACAGTATAATGGCTTAGAGAAAGTTGGCTAATATTAATGATGGGCCATTGTTTTTTCTAGACTGGTTTTGAAATGAAAACCTGTATGGTGGACTTTGCATTCAGGAAGTTATGCAACTCGTCATGGTGCGGCTTAACATCCAGCACCCGGAAGCCTGGAGCTGTCTGTCTTTCCTGTGTCACCACAGAAGCACAAAGCAGAAGAGCGCCATCATGGGAATGAAGACAGTTTTGCTTGTGACTGTGGGGGTCCTGGCAGCTTATTATGTTTATACTCCTTTCCCGGACAATATTGAGGAGCCTTGGAAACTGATGGCTATGACCGCACAAATGAAAGTAATAGGAAGCTGGGTAAGTTCAAGAGTTTATCCTCTGTGTGAATATGTATAGTAATTTGATAAGCATAAAACAATCAAAAATGCTATTTTGGAGATGCACATTTTACCATTTATGTTTGCTTGCTGAATTTAATGCTTTTAAAAATAGGCATTTTATTATTCCTTAAAGCAGATGTGTAAGAGAATGAATATGAGGAAATAGTCCAGGTTTTTTTGCTTTTAAACAGCAAAAGAGCAATATGTGTTGATTGAAGAAAGTAGACTGAAAAACTTGATGGTGAGTCTGATGGATGAATGCAACATGAGGACGAAAGGATGAGTAGAGCTGTGATTAAGTCCACAATTCTATGCAAAGATACTGGACTCAGTACTGAAAATGCATTCCTAATGACATGTGCTGTGCCAAAGTCCATGGGTAAAAGCCCAAGGGATGGTGGATTCCAGGCAATACCCACTGTAGGAGAGGAAGCTGTGGAGGCGACAGAGCTGTGAGTCCACAGCTTGCTGTCTGGTTCTTTTCTAGTGATGCCAGCTGGTTGGGAGTGAAATTATGCACCACACCTTTAATCTTTTCCTTGAGGAGGAAATCCCTTATCACAGAATAAGAAAAAAATAAAGCAAAACTAAATCCTCATGAATATTAAGTGTAGGCAATAAACATCTAGCTTACTATTGTATTTCCTTGCATGTTTTGAAAGGATGTGTCACCACTCTGATATATAATGTAGTTGTAAAGTGCATGCTCTATTTTCACTTTTAGCTAATTGTTCCATGAATTTTCTTTAAAGATTTATTTTTATTTAAAAGACAATTTTTACAGAAAAAGGAAAGCCAGGCAGGGAAAGATCCTTCATCCTCTGGTTTACTCTCCAAATGGCCGCAAAGGACAGAGCTTAACTGAAGCAAAGCTGGGAACCAGGAGCTTCTTCCAGGTCTCCCATGTGGGTGCAGGTCGTAAGGCTTTGGGCTCTGCTCAGCTGTTTCCCTTTCACCTATTTTCCTGTTGTGTAAGTATGTATTTGCGAGGAATTCAAACCCTGCTTGGTTTTTGTAAATAAAAAGATATAACTTATTTGTCAAAGTGTAATATATTATTATGTAATGTGGCATTTTTTCAAAATCTTCATAAGAGCCATCATCTTTTGATGAAACACTATTTTTTGTCTAACTTTTCCTCCCAGTTTCATCATTCAAAATAAATTCAACAGTTTTCTTGGGCTGGTTGACATGTATCCCTTGCTTTACCAATCAATGTGTACATGCATGCCCATCAAACGTAACACTCAGTGATATAAATGAAAGCACTTGAATGAAATCAACTGCCAGTAATTTGTGATGCAATGCTATCATCTGGAGCAGGTGTACTGAACATGCTCCCCGGCAGTGTCATTGGGCCAGGTTACTCAGCATCACTCAGGAAGGACTCTGAGGTTGCATATAGTCTTGATGAGAAACACTGCGCTCAGCACCAGTACGCCTCTCCCAGACCTGGAATTGCCAGCATCTGTGAAAGGATTTTCCAACATAGTGCTTAATTCTAAGATTTTCTTGGGTTGCTTCAGTTCATTTCCAAAAGCATTGATTTTGTGGAGCAGATTGTGGTCTAGAAGTTGAAGCTGCTGCTTGGGACCCCTCCACCTTGTGTCAGAGTGCTGGTCCTAGTCCCAGCTACTCCACTTATCTCTTTTCCTATTTATTCACACAAACATTGCCTCTCCCACCACACACACATGCCTTTATTCTGTTGGTTCAGTATCCAAAAGGCTACAGCAAGCAGGTCTGTGCAGCCAAAGTCACAGGTCACATCCAAGTACTAACCAGGACCAATCCTGCTTAGCTTCCCAGATCAGACAAGATCCTGTGCGTTCAGGGTGGTATGGCCGAAGACAAAAGCCACAGGCTAAGAACTCTGTTCAAGTCCTGAGGTGGGTGGCAGGGGCTCGAGTACTTCAACCATCCTCCACTGCCATCTCAAGGCATGTTAGCAGGGAACTTGGTTAGAAATGCAAGAGCTGGTACACAAGATTGTGGGAAATGGTATCAAAAAATGTACAACAATTAAAAACAGATCAGTCATGTGATCCATATATTGCGTATCTTCAAACATTAAGAAAATTAAGTCTGCATTAAAAGCTAACTGTATTCCAATGTTTATGGTAGTACTATTCACAATAGCAAAGATATGAAATGTTGCTAACAAATGATGACTAGATAAAGAAAATGTGAAGTATCTACAGTGGAATATTACTCAACCATGGAAGTAATGAGACCAAGGCATGCACATTAAAATGAACAAAACAGGAGAATATTATACAAAAACTAAGATAGAGACAGAAAACCAAATTCCAAGTTTTTCTCATAAGTGGATGTCATATTATTTGGTATCCAATCTTTATAACTGATTTTGACTGAATATACCCTTCATTACTTATTTCATGATCATTTTTATACATCCCACAGTATGTAATATCACTTTATGCATTCCTTTTTTCAAAAATAGTGTGCACATGAATATATACAACTTATATATGAAGTAAATATGTAAACTTGTTTAAAATTAATATATATTACATTTGAACTATTTTGCATTAACACCAAGAGCGTATTAGTTTTCTCTACGTTTTTAACATCACTTGCTTGTTTTTATTAACTTTCTGATAACATTCTGGTAGGAGGGAGATAATCCTCCCTTGTAATTTTTGTGCGTTTTCCTTATGGCTAATGATGCTGAGTATTTTCTCAAGTGTCTTTTCGCTATTTTTATTTTTTCTTTTGATAATGGCTGTTCATATCTTTTGTTTGCTTCTTTACTAAACTGTTTTTGCTAAATTTCTTGAGCTCTTCATGTGCACTAGCTATTAATTCTGTATCACACGCTTAGCTTGTGTGCATTTTTCTCACTCTGTTCATTGCCTCTTCACTGGGTGGGTGGTTTCCTTTCAAGATATCTTGTTTCGAAGTTCTGCATGTGGAAACATAACATTATGAACACGGATCAAAGAGATTTTTCTTTGTTCAGGAAAGTTTTTACCTCCTTTGTCACGTAACTTGATTGTAGACATGCAGATTTTATTTCTGGATTTTCCATTCTGTTCCACGGTTCTATGTGTTTGTTTATATGGCAATACCATGTTGGTTTGGTTTATCTGTCTATCTGTTTAATGTATCTATCTATCTATATTTACTTATTTATTTATAGTAGTATACAGTTGAGTCCATTGATTCATGTTCTAAGAGAGAGCTTAGATTTCCTTGTACTTGATATTGGCTTAAAACCACAGAATGCCAGCTAATTTTGCATTAGTCATTTTCATTGAGAAATACAGTAACAACATTGCATCAGCTTGTGGGAATTTAAATTTACTTATTACAGTTACTCTTAGGACTTGTCTATATGTTTGTGTTATCATCTGTAATGCCATGATTGGCATTACGGTGAATTTTTTTAGTTTTCGATATTTTGTTAGAATAATGTTAGAAAAATTCCACACATATAAAGCTGAAAAAACATCATATATCACTTTCTAGAGGTGGAGATGATAGGTATCTTCTGGGTCCCTATCCCTTCTGTAATTTTGGAGAGGAATAGGTAGGGGATATGTGTGGTCCTAGGGCAATGATTAGCAAGTTGTGTGTGGGGAAGGCCTGGAATATACATGTTATTGCAGTGGTTTGGCTCCAATCGCCTGGCAAACACCAACTGCTCACTTTCATTTTACTCTCACCCCCAAGAAGTTCTCTTTTTCTGATGTCAACTATAATTTTTAACAGTTGTTTCTTTGAGTGTTCTTTTTGTGAGCGGCCAATATGTTTCAAAATGCAAGTTCTTAACCACATCCTGTGACTACTTCATTGACATTTCGATTTTAGTTTATATACACAACCGGATTCTATACACCTTAAAATGTCTATTGGGTACTATTCAGCTGTCTCATGTCTATTTCCATTTTTATATTAGCAGTCTATAGTGTTGAAGCATAATTTATACTGAACTTGGTGAATTTTAGGATAGTCCAAACTGGCTTATAACTCTAACAAGGCATATGTCAACAGTTGAGGCACAGAACAGTTTTATGAGAGGTGTGCAGAAAAATCTTCAATACCTTAGTGAGGAGTAACTAATCTTTGTGTTCAACCTAGTAAGGTATATGTGAGTCCAAGCTGACCTTTTCCTGTCTGGTTCTAAGCTTTCCTTATTGGTCTCTGTCTATCTAAGCATTTGGTCTTTTAATAATATGTTTTAATTCTTCAATAATTTTTTTAGCCTGACCCAGCTCTGCTTCCAACTTCTTGTTTGTTTCCCACTGGTGACAGGAAATATCGTTCAATTTGGAGATTCTTCCTTCTACCTCCTTCATTCTATTTTGGAGACTCTCCACTGTACTGCTAACTTGCTCCACTGTATTCTTAATTTCTTAATATCAGCTTTCATTGGTTCATTTCCAGTGTGACATGTTTCTTAAACTCCTTAAATGCCTGCTTTACGTGCTTCTCGTTGTTGATAAGAAGCTTTATAACAAGTGATCTGAATTCTGTATTCCCTATTTTTCAATATCTTCCTCAGGTAACTCTGAGGTTGACAAAAACTTTTGCTCCTTTCCAGGGGAGTCTTCAGTAATATTCATTGTGCCGCTGTCTCTCCTTTTGCTCTTGGTCATTGTACTTCTGGTTAGCAGAGTCTTTTCCTTGGGGCAGGTTTTTAAGCTGTATCATCCACAGGTCTACAATGCGTTTTACTTATTGCAGTTGGTACACAACTCTGTTTGTAGTCATTCTTGCCACTCTCTCCAGCAAGTTCCAGGTCTGGGTTCTTATGTTAGATTTCCACCATGGTTTAAATAGCCCCACTCTTGGCTCACCAGTCTCCACCTCCTGTGATACTATGCTGTGGCTGCACCGTTGTCTGTACAACCTTTCCCCCACTTCCGGTTGGAGCAGGTCCCAGGATTAAGGAGACACCTGGTGTCTTATACAGTTAGGTTGTTGTTGGTGATCTTGCAGAAACCTATTGGC